CTATATCTCAAAATGCTCTCACATGGACACGTGCATACAACTACTACCAGAAAAATCTTACTCACTGCGTTCTCGCGGTGGCGGTGTTATTTATGAAATTAAGAGGACGAAAAACGAATATCTGGCGCTTTAATCAAGTTGGTGGATATATAGGATCCACCTAGGGGAGTTGGAAAACAGCGATACTGTCTTCCCACAAGAAGGGGTGCGGTTAGAAAAGGCCTATCCCCCAAAATGCATATCTCGCCTTATCGCACAGATATCCGTCTCCGTCAGTAAGGTCTCAACAAGTACGGAGCTAACACAAAAATTACTCACAAAATGGTCGTGTTTAACCGACATCAATCAGTTGGGCACTGCGGTCACGCTCTCAGGTCACTAAGACCACCTCTAATTCAATTTCCTTTTCAGGCAGCTCCAAAAGAAGCCTCCCATGGTGAGGGAGCAATCAAAACCACTGACTGACTGCTAACTTCTGTCATTACATCTGAAATTCTCATCAAACTGGATATTAATCGTTAAAAATTGTATGTACTGTATAAATGACAATCAATAACTATACGCATCTATTCAAAAGTAGATGAAAAATGTAAAGAGAGAAAGAGGAAAAATAATAGTGATAAGTACTTAAAACGGGATAGCCTAGTTTATTTTTCGACTGATTCTGATCAGTACACAAAAGGATAACGATTGAATTTCGAAAAGACAAAAAGTTAGGGAGATCCCGAAAATTCCTCGAAAGAAGTAAAAAAATGTTGAGAAACACCGTATCTAATCAGCGTTCAATGGACGTTTTGCTAGAAACATCTAGAAAATGACAAGTCACATGTCGCGTTTCTGTTTAATAGCATTGCAGAAATTTCCGGAAGCCAAAAGCCGTTTAAAATGCTATAAATACCCTACACTTTCTGTACATAAACGAACCTTGGAGTAAACCATTCCTTCTGTATTTCATGCCCTTTCTCTCATGTACAATTTGCAGTGCAGATTTAGCCTTTGGGTGACTAGAGAGATTAGGACACCGAATCTAGCATTCAATTAAAAAACTTATTACAAAAAAATGTAGATTGGTTGAAGTTAGACATTGACGCGGTTGTCTGCTTAGTGGTCTAGAGGTTAAGCGTTCGTGCGCGAGACCAAAGGTCCTGTGTTCGAGTCCCACACGCCAGACCATGAATGCGCACTGCTGAGTAGCCCCATAATAGAACGAAACAGCCATCCAGTGCTTCCAGGTTTTCTATGGTGGTGTCTAGCTTCAATCGAGTATCTGTAACAGCAAATAATATTAGGTATAGGAAAAGAAAAACAATATAAGATTTCGGTAGTCGGAAAGATAAGGAGTAAGTGCATCCACACTGATATTTCCTTATGACCAGGTTAATGTATCATACGATAAAATCGTTAACTATAAACCGACTAATGATGCATAAACTTGTACAGGCAACCTAGAGTTCCTATTTGTCCTCCGAGATAGTGGCTTCTCTCCTAATCCAACCAGTTCAGCCCACAACGACAATATCAGCCTCCACGACACGAATCATATATCTCACACATACTGTGTTTATATACAAACAAACAAGATCATATCATACCTTAAAATAAAAAATAACAATTATACAAGATCAAGGCAAAAAGTGGCTGTGATTGTGAGAGACCTTGACTAATAAATTGGGAACATCCTAAGAAAAGTATATTACATAATAAGTCAATAGATCAAATAAAAGCTTATAATAAAAGGAATATGAATATAATATAGTTGCTTAATAGTAATACAATAAGAATGTATATATACATATACATAATATAGTCTATCAAATAAAAATAAAAGCTATTACAGCTCATGTATACTATTGGTTTGGAATGAGGGATTTCCAATTCCTCTAGGTGGACTTTCTCCATATCCACCAACCCGGTTAAAGCGCCAGATATTCATTTTTCGTCCTCTCACTTTCGTAAACAACAGTAGTGCCGGGAGAATGTATTGAGTAGGACTTTCCCTGGTTGTGGCTTTATACGCATGGCTATATGAGAGCGTTTCGAGAGGGAGAGATGATTCTCTCCACTCTCGGTCGTACAAAAGCATTAGAGGGTTAAGACAGATGACTTAGCCCTGTTTCATGTGAACCATGACAAATCAAAAAGTCCCTTTATTTCCTTGCATAGCAATCCAAGAATGTGTTGAACTGAGTAATGTTGCTTCGTGATAGTTCCGTGACAAATCAATTAGGTAAAAAGTTGTCCATTACTTCACTTATCTTAGAAGACTCATAAGGCATAATGAGTTTATATCTGAGTTAGCATTGTTCAAATAAGATGAAGAGTACAAAATAATGACTTTAAATAAATTTATGAGCTGGTAGAGAATCTTCATCAACTAAGGTAGTTGGAAGATGTGCTACATATCCTCAACAATCTCCTACTTCGATAGAGTAGTCAGTTGGAAAGAAAAGTAAGAAACAATCAAACCAAAACATGTTATCGGATCATGGATACATCAATTGTAGAACTGAGATTTATGGGTTGGCGCATAAAATCTGTTTAGGATCCATATGATCATCTTAACTAGAATGTAATGGCGCAAATCCATTCAATATTCTTTTATTAGATTCTGGAATTGTAAATTTAACTTCACGAACTATTTCATTATGTCAGGATCATATCATCTATATCGGATCTTGTTCAATATCACTGATGACACTACTATCTTGATCATTTCTTCGCATTTAGTTGTGACGTAACAACATGAACTAATAAATATAAATATATGCGCCAGATTGTACATCCCTTGACTGATTGAATTACTAAGGTGAAACTAGCAGAATCTAACCTTTGAACCATTAAATCTTAAATCTATTAATAATAACTCAACTATTTTTCGAATTCGATTCATCACAGAGAGAGAGAGAGAGACTCTGAACTAAATAATCAATATATAATGGAATGAATTGATCTGTCAAAAATGATCAATGAATATTCCTCTATTTGGAACAAACTTATAGAAATGAACAAAATGAAAGTTGAAACAATGAAATGAAGTTCATATAATGTAAATAAATGTATAACAAGATGAGAATGTCTATATTTTTGATAGTTGACAATAAGAGATTTAATCATAATTTATCATTTAATAGAGTAATGAAACCAATTACACCATAGACACATAAATTAATTGCTATGTTTAAAGTGATTACGAGTTCATCTAGTCTGTGAACAGAACAAAAACCAATGTAACCAATGACCAATAAGCTAGATATTCTGATGAGTCCCGAGCCAATCTAACTAGAGAGAGAAGTCGAAATTAGGGGTCTGGGTCTAATCGACTAAGCAGCCGTGTTCTCATGTCACTAAACTTCTGCGATTGGAGACTGCAGATTAAAAAATGGGCTTTGAATTGATCTTCAGTCAGCAACTTCAATTGGAAGCGTTCACACTCGTGGTTGACTATACCCACATGGGTGAGGAAATCAGTGTTTTCATTCATAGTGAGCTTCAAACATTGATAACGTGCGTTGAACAGTGAGGAGTTATCTCCAAACTGTTGACTTAATGACTGAACGGTGTCCGAGAATGAGCGGTCACGTGGGTTTAGAAGCAGAATTAAGTTACAATATCTATCTAATTCACTAGGACTCAATTTTTGAAGTAGCAAGCGGACTTTTCAAGCGTCATCCTGATTAGCGAAATCAAATTTGAGTAAGTCTTCATAACGTCGAAACCACATATCAAATGTGACATTAGATTCAGGATCATAATGAAACTCAGAGATACTGCTCGTGATACCATCAACTGACTGTGCAGTAGTAGTAGAATTAGAAGTGCTTAGTTGCGTGTAAGGCGTATGTTTTGCAGCTGCTAACATCTACATACGTTTCAGCTGTTGCTCGGCACTTCTGTTTGTGCTAACCCCGTTGCCAAATTAGTTAGGTTTGAAGCGATTACAAGTTCATCATGTTTGCGAACGCAACAAAAACTCTGCGTCCCAGCCCCGCTAACTAGAGAGAAGTCCAAGTTTGAAACGGGGAAATATATTCCGCAAGTAGCCATAAGCTCGAGCAACCACGACAGACACAAATCAAACGTATACATACAGCATAAAACTGTCCTTGGGAAGCGTTACAAAACAGCATACTAAAATATACAACGGACCAATAACGTTAAAGATTCTCCAAAGTGGGAAATATGACATGAAGATGAAAAGAGCGCATTCGGTGCGAAAACAAAAAAATTCAAATTTTCGAAATATAAATACGAAATTAAGGTATCTACAAAGTGAGTTCTGGAGACATAACATCCCCAACACAATAACGAATATGGTTTATTTATGCCCCCACATGCCCTGCAACGGTCGAGGGTGGGGTGAGTCACCTCAAACATCGCCACGCGCATAAGGCCAGTAACACGGAACTCTTACTCACTGCTTTCTCGCGGTATTACTGTTGTTTACGAAATTGAGAGGACGAAAAAGCAAATGTCCGGCACTAGAACCAGGTTTGTCGACACTGAAAGTCCACTTAGGGGATTTAGGAAACCTTCATTCCAAACTAATGGTATACATGCGCTCTAACATCCTAAGGAAACAAATGGCGTATGAACCTATTGTTGGCCACCGGCTACCATGGGACTGTATCTACTTATATTTCTCCACTTCCTTATGGATTAGACCTTCAGATCGAAGGCTCCGGGTGTGATCATTTAAGAAAATCACCTGTTTTGGTCTGGACACCCAGTCAGTATCACAGCCAACACATAAATCAAGTGACTTGTGAGGCACATATGTATTCAGTGCCACTATTTACTTATATTTATGTGTTCAAATAAATAATAGAAATCGGAATCGAATATCTAGGTCAGGATTTCACTGTGGAATTTACTAGGTCTGGGTATATATAATACTTAAATATCGATACGTCATTGTAAAACGAAGCCCAAATATACTTCAGTATTACTGGAAATAAGAAAACATTAATACGCTACTAAAATAGTATTACTAAGCAACTTACTTCAGAATCAATAGGTAAAAATCGTGCTTCCAATGAATCTTGTATGATGGTATGTTCAGTAATTGCCAAAACCTCTTGATGATTATAGTTTTCAGTTTCTTCTTTTTTATCTTTTTGCTTATCTACACATTTTAAATCTTTATCTTCATTTAAAAACACTTCTTCAACACCATCATCAACACCAACATAATCTGATTTGTGTTCTACATTAGCAGCTGATATTAAAATATTATCTTCATCGACCCCATTCAAATCATCATCACCAACTGCTGCTTCTGCACTAACTGATGAAGAAGTTGATGATGACGATGATGAAGATGATGATGTTCTAGAACCTGTTGATGTAGGAGATGACGAATTAGAATTTGACAGAATAGTAGTTTGATGACTTCCTGAAGTTAAATCAGTAGATACCGGATCTAATAAATCTAGTTGACTTGATGAACATGAACTACGTGGTGATGTAGAAGCAGAAGAAATACTAGACGAATTATTCGATGAAGATCGACGATGTTGTTGTTGTTGTTGTACATGATGATGCTTTTTATGTGAATCAACCACTGTAGTCGACAATAAATCATAGGTAGTCGTTTGAGTATGCAATGGTTGACTGATACCAGAAGAATATGATGTTGTAGGAGTTTTCTGTATAATATTTTCAATATGTTTGGATGTAGAATTATTTAATTGATAACTTAATCCAGGTGGTTTAACAGCTGGTGTAGCAGTTGGTGCTGATGCAACATAAGCAGGAAATGGTGTAGGCAATTCATCCATAATACGAATCTCTTCTAAAATTGATTTTGATGTAGATGGATGATGATGTGAATTAAATTTATCAATATTAAGTTTATTATTCAAAGCATTACCATCATTGATTATTGAATGTTCAATTAGAAATTGCTGAGGTCTAGCTGATTGTATACGTTCCATAGGAGAAATAATAGGTGATTTTTGTACAATTACTTCAGCAATAGTTGTAATTGGTTTTGATAAATTCATTGGTGAAGATTGATCCGATTTAATTTGTTGTGATTGCCATGGTGTATGCATTTTTATTAATGGTTCTGGACGATTTGATGATGATGTTGAAGAAATAGGACGTTTTATATCAGATAATGATTGATTATCGGTTGATGATGTTTGAGGTACCTATAAAAAATAAAGAAGAAAAGAACATTCGATAAATTTCATTTTAAACACAATCAAATCCATAATTTCACTGGTTGAAATCATGAATCCATTGAAGCTAGACCACCATGGAAAACCTGGTAGAACTGGACGGCCGTTTCGTCCTAGTATGGGACTCCTCAGCAGTGTGCATCCACGATCCCGCTCCTCGCGAGATTCGAACCCAGGACCTATCGGTCTCGCGCCAGGCGCTTAACCAACTAGACCACTGAGCCGGCATCCAACGGTGTTAATGTCTAACTTCAACCAATCCACGAAGTTGCGCCACCGTACACCATTGTCTTCAGTGAGCTGATATCTCAAAACAGACCTGGTTGAACTCCACTGGTAACGGCGCGAGACTGATAGGTCCTGGGTTCGAATCTCGCGAGGAGCGGGATCGTGGATGCGCACTGCTGAGGAGTCCCATACTAGGACGAAACGGCCGTCCAGTGCTTCCAGGTTTTCCATGGTGGTCTAACTTCAATGGATTCATGATTTCAACCAGTGAAATTTCTAAAATCTCCACACAATCCCTTCTGATAATAAAAATCCATAATTGATGATAATTCAATTACTAAGAAGCTTAGACTTTTTCCCGCCAAAAATAAACAAACAAACAAAGATAGCATGCCAATGATAATGTTAAAATGAATCAACGAGATAATAATAATAATAAAAAGAGCATGAATAATGTAAAGACAAGCCAAAATATTGGCAATAAGTCAAGTAAGGCTATTATGTAATCGAAAAAAAGAGGAGGAGGAGGAGGAGAAGAAGAAGGAGAAGGATGAGGAAAATTCCAGTTTAACTGTAATACAAACAATATCAATGATAGGCATACTTGTGAAATGATTTTTAAAAAAATGTGCAAATTTAGGGGGGGGGTAACAATATGTATTACAGTTAACTCTTCTCTCTATCTATGTCTCACACACAAACATCATATTTATGCATACATATCCATTTCAGTATATAACTAAATTAAATGTTCTGTTATACATAAACGACATGACAACAATAAAGATTTTGTCATTCAAACATTGAAAAGTAAAACGTACTAAGTCAAATAATAACAAACTGAATAAACAGATAATAGCAAGAAATCTAATAATCAATTATTAAACAATGATATACATTGAGGAATACAGTTTGAGTAGTAGTGGTAGTAGTAGTAGTTGTAGTTGTAGTAGTAGTAGTAGTAGTAGTAGTAGTAGTAGTAGTAGTAGTAGTAGTAGTAGTAGTAGTAGTAATAGTAGTAATAGTAGTAGTAGTAGTAGTAGTAGTAGTAGTAGTAGTAGTAGTAGTAGTAGTAGTAGTAGTAGTAGTAGTAGTAGTAGTAGTAGTAGTAGTAGTAGTGATAATAGAATAATAATAATAAGTATTGCTCTTATTAAATTATGATCGACACAATACCAAGCTATAAAGGGATCACCACTAACTGCTATTTCAAACTAATTTTACTGACATTTTAAAGGGATAAGTACCATTCCTTTTGGAACATCGCATAGCAACTAGTTGTGATGAAACAAAAGTATATATATATATATATATATATATATATATATATATATATGACTGAAACATTAAACTGTTTTCGGAAGAGTTTTGTTCTCTGAGCTGAATGGTTTGATCATAGAGCTTTCATTGTTATTCTGAATGACATTATTAGCAAAAATTTCAGGTAGATGTTGTCTAGAATAACGATGAAAGCTTCATGATCAAATCATTCAGCTCAGAGAACAAAGCTCCATCAAAATCATCCACATGAGCTACAAATTTATTATTATTTATTTATTTGAACAAATAAATACTGGTACAAGATGGCACCAGATACATATGTGCCACACAAATCTCATATCATTTGTGTGAGGGTGGTGATATTGACCGGGTGCCCAAACCGAAGTAGATGGTTTTCTTAAGTTGTCACACCCGGAGCATTCGACCTGAAGGTGTGATCCACAAGACAGTGAAACCACGTCAGATGTAGTCCCATGGCAAACGGTTACAAACGATTGGTTCATACGCCATTTGTTCCCTCAGGATACTGGAGCCCATATGTACCATTGGTTTGGAATTAGGGTTTTCCAACTCCCCTAGGCAGACTCTGCGTGTCCACCAACCCGGTTAAAGCGCAGGACATTTGCTTTTCGTCCTCTCAATTCCGTATACAACACCCCCACCACGAGAAGGCAGTATGACTTTCCTGGCAAAGGCTATATACGCGTGGCCATGCGAGAGGATTTCGAGAGGAAGAGCGGACTCACCCCACTCTCGACCGTACTAGGGCATTTGAGAGCTACAAATCTTCTCCACCATCTCAAGTTAAACTGTTATTCAATATAAACGCTTGATTATAGATGTTCTCTAATATCTGTATGCGATGTCAGTAATTAACGTGAATAAGAATCCATAGGTTCAAATCTAAGGTTCATTAAGATAGTATAACTTGGTCTTAGTATGATGCAAAACAGGATTACAAAGCATCATAGTAAAAGGTTTAAATGTAAAAAACATTCTATGTTTCTCATTTTTAACGTAACAAAAGTAAACCTGTTTAAGATTTATTCAAAGCACTGAATGGTATGCGTTCGAACATTGAATAACGTATTTGTCAATAGATGTAACTTTTTAGCAACCTATTGAAACGTTTAAACCATCACTTTTCTAAAAATACGTATTCATTTTCTTTGATTTCCCAGTTTTAAACTTAACTATCTATTCTCACTGACTACATGTACTTATGAGGTTTCAACTAACAATTACTGAGAAACTGAAGAAGTACCATTAAAGTATTACGGATATTTTACTCCATATCTGTCATTTTGAAAGAATAAGAAGTGGTTAGTATAAAATTTATACACTAACAAATATTCGACAATTAAAATAAATGTCATAGGTGCAAGACTGATCAAGGACACTGAAGGTCCATCTAGAGGAATTGTAAAACATTCATTCCAAACCAATCGCGCATATAGGCTTCAGGATCCTGAAAGAAAAAATGACGTAAGAACTTATAGTTGGTCACCAGCTATCATGAGACTATACCTCCAGACGTTGCTCCACTTCCCTATGGATTAGACCTTTAGGTCAAAGACACCGAGTGTGGCACCCTAAGAAAACCACCTACTTCGATTTGGGAACCCGGGCATTATCACAGCCCATAACACAAATCAAGTGCCTTGTGTGAACGTAAACAGTTACAAACGAATGTCAATGTCAGTTAATTATCACTGTTTCGAAACATTTGATACATATTTGTTAAGATCCACAAATTAAGTGCCTATTAACCGTGAGTTTGATTATGAATTTGCATATTATGTACCTAAGATTCTCTACTACAATCAAGAATATAGTATTAAATAAAGCACATATTATTATTGGTAATAGTATTAGTATTATAAACTTTCATTTATTCCCCATGGATAGTATTTTAACCAATTAGCATTTTATTCCTACGTAGATATTATTGGTCAATCTATATTGATTCATTCATGTAATAATTCTAATAATTTTGGTGAGTGGTTGGAGGTAGTTAACAAGAAATCCTGGACCTAGTTTTCGTGCTACTTGGCACCCGTCAGCAAGGTTTACCTTTATTCTTGAAAGAACTGCTTCTCCCTGACGGATTCGATCCGCCAAGTGGTAACATCTCTGACTGTGAAGCTGGGTGAAACGGGATCGAATCCGTCAGAGAGCATCAGTTCCTTCACGATTACAGGTAAACCTAGCTGACGAACGCCAAATAGAACAAAATCTAGCTCCAGGGTGTTTCATCTTAAAATGGGACTTTTTAATCGTTTACATCTATAAGCTTCAAAAAAACTGAAACTTGGCAGTCAGTGTACGATCTTTAGTCCATGAACCGATAACGATAGAAAGAACAATATTTTAGTCATAAAGAAAAATTTTGAGGAACTTGCTAAAGATTTCTAATTGATCACACGTAATATATAGCCAGTAGGACTGATAACCTATATCGAAAATTCGCAGACTAACCAACGAACAAAAATAAAGATCTTAACGCTTATTGATAATTGAGCCACATCTAACTCAGAAGCCAATAAAATTGATGATAGGAGATAGATTAGTTCACTATTATAACACAAAACTCACACAATAATATAATGAAAATTCTAGATAACATAGAAAACCAGATAAGAAATCATATATCAAACACAATCATAATCTAAGCAGTAAACAGTGGACCAAACAGTATATAAATAACCAGGAACATAACGACAATTAATAGGTCCACTGAAAGCTTATACTAAAAGGAACATAGAAATGTAACAAACAATTGATCTACTAATTATAAAATAAAGACATAAATAATCGGAATGTGAAAATAGCTCCAAAAATTTCACCTTCTCCAATATTCGTCCTCCATGAAGATTGATGAAACAGTCAACTTAGTTGAAACAAATCAATGTTTAAATGAGAATAGCGAAAATTCCCAATGAATTCGGGGAATTAATCATCAAAATGTAAATATTACAGAGCGATAATACCCCACTATATAATTGGATTATTAGATGAATCCATAATGAAAGAGAATTGATAGAGAGCAAAACGATAGAAAACTTACAAATTATCAATATATATAATAAGATGTTTTTGTTATACAGTCAACTTAAAATAACAAACAACACCAGAGAATATAATTACTATAGTTGTTGTAAATAAAGATACATACTGACGAACATGAAAATAAAAAATAGAGGTATGACTACATAGAGCTGAATGTCTCATATGAGACACTGAAGGTTCGCTATTGATATTGTGGATAGTTCAGCATGATTATTTTTGTAAGTTTTATTAATTGTTCATGCATAAAATTGGTTTGCTGGTTAACAGATTTCATTCATACTGGTGGTTGGTTTTCAGTGTTCTTAAGAGTCATTGTCATTGAGACATTGTAAGGCATGTCGCCATTGATAACATTAATGTGTTTGACTGTTGTGTAAACGGAATAGATCAAC